CTCGGAGCCGTAGGAGGTCGTAAGATCATCTTACTAGCTTGCTAGTTGCAGTTAGGAGTTGTAGTAAACTTTAGGATCACCTGTTTGGAGTTCCTGACTGTTGCTACGACTTGTTCTACTGCTTACTGTTTTCTTCTTTTCTCTGCAATTTATTTAAATTCCCTGCAAATTATATTATGCTTTATGAGTTAAACATGCAACAAGGATAGCATCGACAAATACGTTACGTACACAAGTACATTTTATTTGTTGTTGTTTATTCATTGCAATTTATTATTGCTCTAACACATTATGCAGGTACTGAATACAATTTCACTTTCAAAACAAAACGATTTTTCAAAATTAAACAACATTTTCAAAAAAAAAAAACAGAACACGTTCTTTCGAATTTACGGGAGTCCCTCGGATGAGGTAACCCACGGTTGCTAACGAGATCTCCCCGATTTAAATGAGTTTCACAACTCATTTAGACTATGTAAATTCAAAAGAAAATAGTGATACTAGAACGAGGGAACCGTGAGATCCTAACCGGTGTCGCTCTAATTAACTTTAACCCCCCATAATGACAACAAAACCAAAACCTTTAAACTTACATAATACAATATTTTGAACTTTTGACTTTAGGATTGCTATTTCGACGAGGAACTTGGAGCAACTTTGTCGGCAATACACTGAGGAGCTTGGATCGAGCGACAAAAGGAGCTTCTTTGGCAATCTCTCTTTCCTAGTCTAAACAACACATAGGATTTCGAGGTAGCTCGCACTGCACGATGTAAATCCTCACCCTCTTTTAGGCTCCTGCACAGTCATACTGGACAGTATAAGTCTTAACTCAGTTTTAACTCACCTTAGGTTTTGAGGTTGTCTTCCAAAACGACGTAAAACCTTTTATCTCTGCGGGCTATTTGCGTAATCAATTATTATGCAAGTCTAAGTCCCTAACGAATAAAATTGACAGGATTAAACACTCAAATAACAGCCTCTCCAAAACACAGCCGTACAGTAGGATAGTTTGGGAAGTCATTGAGGATTCTCTTCAGGATCTGTGACGTTCCCTACCCTTTACTTTGGACTCCTGAAAGAACTGTTTCTACTTGAGCCACTCCCATTTGTTTTTTCACGTCCTACCTTAAAAACCTAAATTTTGAATTCTTGAAGACTAGAACCACTGATCGTTGTCGAGAGTGATCATTGCCGAGAGTTTTCTCAAGTGATTCCCGTCATTTGAGATGTAATCAACTATAGGGGTAGATGTAATTAACTATAGGGGCTTGTCTCTATTGGGAACTTGAAACCCAGGTAAAATAATTCCTATTTAATCTTTGTATTAAATAGGAGAATTTGTTGGTCACATATAAAAATTTCGCAGACCAAATGAATGTCACAAATCACTTAATTTGCAGGATTGGGTCGATTACCGGGGTCTACACTTATCTCTTGAATTATCTCTTGGAATGTGTAGTATTCAGGGTAGGGTACCAGACACGATTATGCAAATTATTGGACTAATGAGATCCATTCGGTCTAATTTTAAAAAAAATTAAAACAGTACTTTCATAATTTAAATTATAGATCTTATATTGAAATTAAATTTTTGAAAATCGCATTTTCAAAATCTAACATCGAAAAAGTTGACCGACAAGGCGGCTTTGACTATGAGGTATAATTAGGGTTTTTTGTATATTTATAACTTTTTTACTTCTCGCATCCCATTTTTTTCCCATATACTAAGCTAATGTTTGATGTGATGTTGAACCGTGTCTCAGATGTGTTCGGGCCTAAAAAAGATTCACACATTGTATAGTGTCAGACAAATGTCCGGGCGTGTTGTAAAGTGTTGGTGCTAGATAAGTTTCCAATATGGATATAACATATTTTTAGAAGTGTCAGTGCTACATAGACCTATATAGATGTTTTATGACATTCAAGCTTCTATCAATATTGCCAAGGATTATATGCATCATGACAGGAACAAACATATTGAAGTTGATAGACACTTTATCTCTAAAAAAATTAGTGGGGGAATCCTAAGAATTGGTCCCTACAACATCCACGACCCAACTTGAAGAGAAGTGTGGAAGCCTAAGAAGTTTCAGGTGGTTTTCCTCTCATGGACGGGCCAGCTATTCAAGATCTCCTAGGAGATTTGATTGGAGACAAATTTGGAATCCTCTTGATTTGTGTTTATTCCTTTCCTATTTATGTTTGTTTATTTTTTATTTCAGAATTATTTTTTTTCCTAATTTTGGTTAGATATATTTGATAAGTTTGTAAATTAAGAGGGATTATATTCCATATATATGTGTACTCTACATGTGAATAAAGAAATAAAACAAATTTTCTGAAGTAATCTCTACATTTTGCACCAAGAGAAATGAGAACAACCTCTAGGGTTTCCCTCTCCTGGAGTTTGGTTAATGGATTTTGTGGTCAAAGTGGCATATATTTCACGATTCTATTATTAAGTATTAGATATAGTAATTATGTTAGGTATGTTGAAATTTTGATGGACACCTCTTGATATATTGGTATCTTTTATGATTTCTATGAAAGAAACAATCATCTAATTTCATTAATATTAGTAATGCGGGATGGATCCCACAAATCAATATGTATTAAGGAGTAAGATATTGTGACTTTTGAGTGGCTTAAATGATAGGATGCTTTATGGTGTTTAGCCATTTGAGATGCTTTACACGAGAGCTCAAAGACTTCTATTTTGCTGAATGATACATTAAGGATGGATGTTTCATTTGAATGTGATAGAGATAAATTATCACCCTTTTTGTATTCACTATTTTTGGATAGATAAGTTTGAGAGATGTGATTATTATCACTCATATCTTGATAGTAGAGTTCTTCTTCTTCCATAGCATTTCCAATCATCTCTTCTTTGTTTTTATCCTGAAAAACAATGATTGAAAAAAGTGCAGCTTAAGTCAGAATTTAGTTCTTGAATGTATAATATGTTATAACAATGACAACAACAATAACAAGCCTTTAACCTACTATGTGGGGTCAGCTACATGAATCCTTTTTCTCCATTGTATCCTATTGAATGTCATATTTTCATTTAATTCTAATAAATCTAGATCATTTTTTATACAATATGCCCAAGTCTTTTAGGAATTTGGAATTTGGAGAACTGATGATGATAGAAGAAAAGTTGTGAGTTTTATTGGAAGAGAATTTAGTTAAAGACTTTATCACGTGACCTGTTGCTTTTAAATTCATCATTTATTTTTTTTCAGAAACCGCCGATAAATAAGAAATGAAATATTTGATTGTGCCATAAAGCATGTACCCATTGATTTATTCAATATTTTCAAGAGGTTTGGAGTTTTTTTAAATTTTTTATTTTTTTATTTCTTTTTGTTTCAATCCTTCCATTTATGCATTAGTTTTGTCTTTTGTCTTTTTCTTTTTAAAAGTGTTGTTGGCTTGATAATCCTTGGATTGGTATGGCGGTTTCCTTTGGAGTTTCTAGTTTGTCTTTGATGTATTCTACTATTTTACAACATTTACAAAATATACCATCTCAATTATTGGATTTTGGTGGGGTCGGTTTGGGCTTGGATTGTTTGGTCATGCTTATATTTTGTGTAGAGGAAACAATCAAGGTAGAACTTCCATCCACAAGCGGTGTTTCTAGCATAACTTTTCCCCTTCTTCATGGTTTTTTTTTTTTTTTTTGGGTCACCTCTCTTCATGTTTAAAAGCAGGGAAAACTTTATTTAGGTTCGGAAGGGAATCTTTTCCAAGTATTTGAATACAAACTTGTTTGATTAAAATTCAAAAAATTTTTCTCTTCCATAAAAGATGCAGTATAGTAGTAGTTTTACTGTACCTAATTTTAACACCTTGGCGGTGATTGTTTTTGAGCCACAAAATTTTAATCTTATTATTATATTTTCTTTACTGAAGGGTGCCTTAAATGGCGGCGTAAATTTTTGTTTCAATTTTGTTGATTAAAGCAACATCAAGAACCATGAAGATGTTTGCTTCGTTGATATACTAGGAATATTAGCGATTTAAAAATTAACCGAAAAGCCAGCGAGACTCGAAAATTCCAGATTTGAGTTGACCCAAATAACTTTCGAATCGGGTTTTTGTTGACTCGAATAACTTTCTGGTCTGGTTCAAAATAAAATTTCTAACTCGTTTAATTTTTGGGTCTGGTTCGGGAGGGGGAGTGAGGCGGAGAGGGGTAGGGAGGGGGTGGGGAGAGAGAAAGAGAGAGAGAGAGAGGAGGGGGAGGCGGAGGGGGTGGGGGGAGAAAGGTGGCTTGAGTACTTATGTATTTCATTGAGAACCTTACAACCTTATTTACTCAAGGCTATGTTCCACTACTTAAATTGTCTTCTGGAGACAACTATTATATTACTGATTACTTGCTAGTTTCTTGAGGATAGAATATTCAAAGTATTAGCAAGGTTTCTATACACGTACCAATGAGAATATAAATGAGAACTGCTACAGCTCGCATGAGCAATAGCTAATTTTTTAACCGGGATTCTCGAGCTTAAGCTTTCGGATATTGAAAATTTGACAAATAAAAATTAAAAAATGAAACTGAAACTAAACTTAAATATGAATCAATAGCTAGTTTGATTTGAATGCAGGCTTGGTCTCGAATCCTGTCATATATTTGGGCTTGGATGAGGACTTCTATCGCATGGCATTTACATACATACCACCAATTCCTATGTATTTATATATATAGCACCAAAATTTGCTACATTTATGCCAAACAAATCTTTCATATCACACAAAAATGCCTTTATTTTAACTTTTAAACAGTGAAAAGGTAAGGTGACATGTATGTAAAATTGAAGTTTAGGTGTTATGTAAACACACAGGAATTGAGTGTTATTTATGTAAATCATCCATTTTTTTAAATCTTTATATATGTTGACCTGAGTTCCGGATACTGTTTTGCTGAACTTAGATGATGCAAGAATAACATCTTGTACTGAACTTCTTAATTTTCTGTTCTGTAGGGTTTGCTCTAGCTTGGGAATTCCTTTAAGAGAAGTGGCACCGTCTTGGTCTGACCATCAACTTTGGGAGGAGTCCTTTATTACCAGTAAAGTTTTCAGAATTCAAGCTCCGTATTTCTTTCCTTTTATATTGGTAGTTGAAGAATATTGTGAGAAGAAAAGAAATACTTATTTTCCTTAGCTTCCATAAGAGAGGTTTACATGATAAATAGTAGAGGAGGCCACCAAATTATGAAGGCCAAAATCAGCCACAAAATTCTCATGCTAGAATATAGGAAACTGCCAACAATAGAAAACTCTAAAAATAGAGAACACTAAAAATAAAAAAAATCTAATTTTGGCCCTAAAATTCTGACACCTTCCTTAAACTAGAGCATGGATATGTATCATGCCCAACTTGCTTACAAAGAGCTCAAAAGTTGTCCTAAAAGGTTCTTTGGTGAAGATATTTGTAATTCGCTACGTAGTAGGTATAAAATGCATGCAAATAGCTCCACAATTAACTTCTCTTTTATCAAGTGTCTGTCAATCTCCACATGTTTTGTGCGATCATGTTGTACTCGATTTTGCGCAATGCTTTTGACGGATTTATTTTCACAGTACAACTTCTTTGACATGTTTATCGGGATCCACAGCTCTTAAAAAAATCTTTTCAATCATAACATTTCACATATTCCATCAGTTATAACCATAAATTTTGCCTTGACATTGCTCTTTGCAAGTACATTTTGTTTCTTACTTTGCCATGTAATTAGATTTCCACAACGCAAATATAGTATCTGAACACTGATCTTCTGTCAATAACTGAGGCCACACAATCTGCATCAATATATGCCTCTATGTTTTGATGTGTAGTCTTCTGAAAGAGTAAACCCTTGCCTAGTGTACTTTTTGGTATCTTAGAATCCTATTAATTAATTCAAGTTGATTCTCATTGAGCAAACTAATAAATTGACTACCAAACTTAGAACAAAAACAATCTTTGACCATGTATATGTTCAGTATATTAACTTTTTCTCTAACTTTTGTTACCAAACTGTATTCATTGGATAACCTTCGTTTTCATCTCTTAGTTTGTGATTGGGATAAATTGAAGTACCAGCAAGTCTACTGACGGGCTCATTTTGGTTGGGGGTTGGGGGTGACCAGGCGCAGGTCAGCCCAACTGGACCCTTGGAGGGGGGCCCCATCGACCCTCCTCCTTTTCCTCCCCTCCTTGTATTTTCTTTTTCTTTCTTTGCTTTCTTGCTTCTCTAAATCTTTCCTAATTCTATAACATTTCATAAACACCAACATCTAATTTTATTCTCCATCTAATCTTAAAACCTATGTATTAAATCTGAAATTTGATTTTATTTCCTTCTCTATTTTAAAAGTTTTGCCTAAATTATGAAATATGATATTATTCCATTCTTATTTTAATATATCCTAAAATTGAGTCAAGTTTTTTATAAATAGGAGTTCTTGTATCTAGGGTAAGGTCTTATTTTTGAAATCTGATTTCAGTTTATCTGAATAGTTTCTTTCTCGAAGGGCTGTATTCGACGACGAGGAAAGTGCTTCGGCTGTAACCCCGTCCGAGGTGGTGTTTATTTCACTGTTCCGGCCACTACCCGCTGTCCATCGGCGTTCCAACCACCCTTCAACACCACCGGTCACCTCCGGGCCAGCCAAACAGCCAGCCAATTCGCGTGCAGCTTCACTGTGGCTGTTCACAGCCCTCCTACTGCCCTTCCAGACATCACTGCTGCAACCACCTGCTGTTCGCAACCCTCCTGCTACCGTTCCAAATGCCAATGCTGCACCTCTTACTGTTCACATTCCTCCTACGGGCACTGCTGCAGCCACATGCTGTTCGCAGCTTTCATGCTGCCCTTTCAAATGCAACTGCTGCAGCCTCCTACTGTTTGCATTCCTCCTACTACCCTTCCAGACATCATTGCTGCAGCCACATGCTGTTTGCAGCCCTCCTGCTGCCCTTCCAAAATCCACTGCTGCAGCCTCCTGCTGTTCCCAGCTCTCCTGTTGCCCTTCCAGACGCAACTACTGCAGCAACCTGCAGTTCGCAGTCCACCATCTGCCCTTCCGACATCCCCGCCGGAGACTTCTCTGCACCTTCCGCCTCCTGCCACCTCACTCACCGCAGGCCGCCGCCTCCATCAAGCCGTCCCAGTGCCTACAGCTGCTGCCTTCCTCCTTCCTGCAGCTCACAACCTTCCTTTGCCTCCGCTCCTTGGCTTCGTCCGCCATTCTTGCCTTCCGCTCCTCGGCTTCCGCCACCATCCTTGCCGCCTCCGGATTCCACCCTTTGACGAAGCTTTCCGTTTCCTCCTGTTGCGGTTCGACGCCTCGACGAGCGCTGAATCGCTGCTCCGCTTTCACCCGACATCACTCCGGCCTTCACCGCAGCCACCGCTCCAGCACAACCTCTCCGGATTCCTTGCTCGTCGGGCTTGTTGTGTCTTTATTTATTGAGTTTTTGTTTGTATTATTTTATTTTATGTTTTGATTTATGTGGTGCCTTTTCTTTTCTTGGGAGTCATCATTGTAACTATTCTTTTAAGTTATTAATAAATTCGTGTATTGCGTCGTGCTTTGCGTTAACTCCGGTATCATATGGTATCATAACTAGCCTAACCCTAGTCCTATCCTAGGGTTCTCTAGCATCCGCTCCCCTACCCAAACCAAAATTTTTTCCCAAACCAAAAAATTTTTCCCCCTCTTTTTTTTGCATCTTTTCTTGATTTCCTCTCTCATTCTCTTCTCTTCGTCATTCCTTTTTTTCCCTCTTTGTTTCCCTCCACTATCCTCGACATCTTCTTCCTTAAACCATCAACTATGCCTTCCAGAAGAAACGTACTGAACCACACATAGGATGCGCTACAGCATAAAATCCAGCATCTACAACAACAACAACAACAACAATTGGCATAACTAGTTGAAGGAACCCAAGGCAAGGTTATCCTCTATCGTGATCTAGAAAGTCGACATGAAGACAGGGACGACGATCTCAATCTGTTCCATTGGGAAGATGCGAGCGACAAAGGATACCGTTCTCTCTGTTTTGGCATCCAATACCCGAGGAGACCACAAGAAGAACCCCGAGACCATCACAACTTCGGTATTAAAATAGATCTCCCCAAATTTGATGGCGATATGGATCCAGATGAATTCCTCGACTGGCTGCAAACAGTTGAATGAGTTTTCAAATACAAGGAGATACCTGAAGATAAGCGGGTCAAACTAACAACTATTAAATTGAAAAAGCACGTCTTGTTATGGTGGGACAACCAACAACGTCAGCAAATGAGGGACAACATCGACAAAGTCACAAAGTAGGACAAAATGAAGAAAGTGCTATTGCATAAATACTTGCCCCCGCACTACCTCCAAGACATATTCCTTAGCTCCACAACCTTTAACAACGAGAAATGAGTGTAGAGGAATTCACAGCCAAATTTAATCAATTACAAATAAAGTGTGACTTGGTTAAACAAGAGGAGCATACCATTGACCGCTACTCAGAGGTCTGAAGCCCGCCATTAGCAATGTAGTTCAACTACAACCCTATTGGTCGCCGAATGACGTCCAAATCTTAGCCGTGAAAGTTGAAAGACAATAGAAGCAGACCAGATCGTAGCCTTCCTTCCAACAACAATCCTCATACAAGCCAACCCCAACAACTACACCTATTGACAAAGGCACACCAGGAACAGGGAAACCAACAACCCGGAATGCAAAACTGATCCAAGCAACAAGAAACCCAAAAATGGTACTCTTTAGGGCCAATGCTAGCCACAAAGTGTTTAAATGCCATTGTTTCAATCACATCGCCTCCAGGTGTCCCACAAGCCGAAATATCTCTTTTACAGACCAAGGTGTCATGGAGGAAAGCGAGGATGAGGAAGCAGCAGAAATTTTCGATGAAACACTTCAACTCCCAGAGAATGAAGGTGAATTACTAGTCATACAATGAGTCCTACTATCGGAACCAACACAGGATCAGTCATGGCTACGATATAACATCTTTCGTACAAAGTGTGCAGTTAAAGGGAAAGTTTGTAGCTTGATAATCGACAATGACAATTTTGAAAATTTTGTATCAACACTAATGGTGACAAAGTTAGAATTATCCACACAAAACATCCTCAACCCTATTCCCTCACTTGGTTGAAAAAAGAGAATGAAATTTGTGTGGATCAACAATGCCTTGTTGAGTTCTCGATTGACAACCAATTAAAGGAACAAGTATGGTGTGTTGTCGTTCCCATGGACGCCTGCCATAATTTATTGGGACGACCTTGGCAATACGCCCGCAAAGCTCACTATGACGGGTTTAGAAACACCCTCATTCAAGAAAGGTGACAAACACATCATATTACTACCAAGTAAAGATGCCATAGGAGTAAACGACACTGAGGAAATAATAGCTCCAAAAGCCACGTTCATGTAGTCAGTTCGAGAAGCACCAACGACACTAGCCACAGTCCTACATGAGGGGTCTAAGGAAGAAAACTTAATACTGACACACCGACAACCTCTGCTACAAGACTTCTAGAACGTTATGATAGACAATATGCTAGAGGGACTACCACCATTAAGGCATATTTAGCATGCAATAGACCTTATATTGGGATCAGTCTTACAAATTGACCTGCCTACAGGCTCAGACCGACGAAATACGAGGAACTACAATGACAAGTGCAAGATCCCGTCACCAGAGGGCTAGTTTGAGAAAGTACAAGTCTGTGTGCAGTGCCCACCTTAATGGTACCCAAGAAAGATTGATCTTGGAGGCTGTGTATCGACAACAAAGCCATCAACAAAATCACAATCAAGTACCGATTCCCTATACCTCGACTAGAAGATCTACTGGACAAGTTACCCGGAGCCACTCTGTCCTCAAAGATTGACTTACGCAGTGGATACCACCAGATACAAATGTGGTGAAAGAATGAATGGAAGACCGCATTTAAAATCTGAGATGGACTATACGAGTAGACAGTCATGCCCTTCGGCTTATCAAATGCATCCAACATCTATCGACAACAAAGCCATCAACAAAATCACAATCAAGTACCGATTCCCTATACCTCGACTAGAAGATCTACTGGACAAGTTACCCGGAGCCACTCTGTCCTCAAAGATTGACTTACGCAGTGGATACCACTAGATACAAATGTGGTGAAAGAATGAATGGAAGACCGCATTTAAAATCTGAGATGGACTATACGAGTAGAGAGTCATGCCCTTCGGCCTATCAAATGCATCCAACATCTTTATGCAATTAATGAATCAGATATCTCACAACCTCATCAAGAAATTCGTCGTAGTCTACTTTGACGACATACTGGTTTACAACCATTCTGAAGAGGATCATGTACAACATTTAACAACAGTTTTTGAAGTACTCCGGAATGAGAAATTATACGCTCATCCAAAGAAATGCACTTTCATGACAAATCAAATTTGCCTTTTGGGTTGTATCGTTTCCAGCGCAGACATTCAAATGGACCTGACCAAAATCGAAGCCATCATAAGATGGACCACACCGCAATCATTTACCAAATTAAGACAGTTTTTGGGACTAGCAACATTCTACCGTCGCTTCATTAAAAATTTCAGCACTATTACCGCTCCTCTCATCGAGCTTTTAAAAGGAAAAAAGTCACTTAGCCAAGAACCACTCAGATTAGCTTCGACACACGTAAAGAAAAAGCAACTCAAGCTCCAGTTCTAGCCCTGCTATAGATTTCACGCAATTATTCGAAGTAGAATGTGATGCATTATGCGTCAGAATCGGGGCTGCACAGAATTAGAGCGGTCACCCCAGCGCTTTCATTTGTGAGAAACTAAACGAGTTCAGGAGGAAGTACTCAACCTACGACAAAGAATTGTATGCAATTGTAAGAGTCCTCGAGCACTGGAGCTAGTACCTACTTGGTATGCATGTAAATGCCCCGTTAATCTAAATATTAAAGGTATTATTGCCTTTATCGGTAAGAATTCAAGAGATCAGCGCTATATTGATCAAAATTGTTTAATTGGAGTTTATAACCTAATTACAGGCAAGAGATTTTAACAATAGAATCAAATAAATATCCCGAGCCTACATTGGGATGCAAACAGACATCATATATAAAACTTTAATCAGGCAACGATCGATAATGTAAGCTAAACTTTTTTCATCGGATACATTTTTGTCATTGGATCCCATTTAACATCATACTCAAAGGCACTTCAAACTTGCTGGTAACTGCTTGAGATTTGGAAAGATTAATTTTTTTACATTAGCCTGTTACTATCCGCTTTACGATTATTAGCATGTTCCCTTTTCTTTAAAATAGGTCATTTACATACCATCTAATTCTTATGTATTCCCGTGTTTAAAACCTAAATCTTCTTATCACATAGAAAGTACCACTGCTTTAACTTTTGAATAGTGAAATACACTTTTTCATGCATAGGTTAAGTGAATATATGTAAAAAATTGATATGTAAAAATTGAAGTTAAGGTGTTAGATATGTAAATACATAGGAATTAAGTGGTATTTATATAAATTTTTCTCGAGATTATTAACCTGTTACCATTGTCTTTAGTTAAGTTGGATGATGATTGAAATGTGATTTACTATCATTTTGCAAATACTCATAAATAAAATTCTGTCAGTATAAACTGAATATTTTCTTGGCGTTTTGGATTCATTTATCAATACTATTATTAGAAAGGCTTGGGTCACTTCGCACAATTTTACAACTAAAAAATCTTGATATTTCAATAAAATAAAATTGCTAGAAACAAATCATCATAGCAATTGATACCATGTAACCTATGCTATATATGTGATGTCTTGTTTCATTTCCCCGAGGAAGTCGAAGAGGAGTGGAGGCAAAGAATTGAAGAGAGGGAGAGGAAGCGTATAGTCGAGAAGAAGGGAGGAAGTTGACAGTTGACGACTCAAATGGGTATCTGCCGTCCTATGAAGTGATGTGTATGAGGGTATCAGAGGTGGGATTGACTTACCTGGAGAGTCGAACGACGCGTGTGAAGACCGACGAGCGCAAGCTAGGGTTTCCCTATAGTCGATGGCGGCGGCGTCGACGTACAACATCTTCGATCATCAAATTGAGGGAGAATCGACATCGATAGTAGCATGGACGATGTCGCAGTTGAGCAGAAGAGTTGACGCTGCAGTTGAGCGAAGGAGGCGAGTGCGAGAGAGATTCCTACGAGCCAGTGTGACTCGATCTCATGCAATCGAGCGGAAGTAGAAGGAAGGAAAGAGAATATCGTGGGACCAATATTTTAGGTATGAGTTATTAAGGTTTAGGTATTAATAAAAAATATTATTTAGTTTGTATAATAGAAATATGAAAGATTTATTTAAAATAGGAAACTAAACGCTACAAGTA